CCCAATAAAGTGTTTAAATAGAGCTATATTATCCTTCCTTGAACCTGAATTAGTTGTCTTTTAAATACGAAGTATTAACTAGAACAAATTGATACAACAGCTTCAAGTGTGAACTAAGACGATGCGTGTGATCTGAAATTTGTTGTCGCTTATCTGCTGTCTGAGGTTCTGTTCAGAGCATACAGTCTTCATACGACAGACTTCGCAGAACCAAGCGTCATTTGGAAATTAATTTTTTTTAATATTGTTTTAAATTATAATGTGAAGAAAATTAAGTACGCACAAGCGTAATTCAGCTCTCCCCCAGGGGGGCACGCACCACAGTGGTTCAGGAGAGCCCCTTGCAGCCGGTGCTCGTGGCTGTGAGCAAGGGCTGAGCTCAGGCTGGTCCTGTCACCTCTGAGCCGGGCTCCCAGGCGTCACCTGGGCTCGGGAATGGTCCTGCTTTGGCGCAGTGGGAAGAGCCTGGGCTTACTCTGGGGACCGCAGCCGAGGTGCGTGCGATGGGTGGATGAAGGGGAAGCGGGGCTGCAGGTGGTGTCTGTGGCCACTGTCAGAGCTCGCCCAAAGCCAGCCCGGGGTCTGCCCCATCAGCCACCAGCACACGGTGTAACCCTGGCTTTAGAGGGATGCAAGTCCCCCACCTCAGTCTTGAAATACTGAGCAAATCCATCGCCAGTGAAACAGAAGATTAAGTCACCTACTTCAAAGAATGGGAAAGGAAAGCATTGCACATTTTCTTAACTGGCGCTTTTCTTCTTTCTTTTGTTTTCCTCTGCACTGAGGTGAGAACTAGAGAGGAAAAACTACTAAGAGTGCAAAGATCACAGAATACTGGTTATGTTGTTAGTGTGATGGGACAATATATTTTTGGAGTGTTTATGCAGTGTTAGGTAGAGAAAAGTGGAACTCTGGGAAAGAGATACTCTGCTCATTCTGGCGCTGAGGCGGTGCTGGAAATTAGAAATCGGGTAATGGGATTTTTCTCTCTGGATCAGCCTCTGGCTGTCTAAAATATGTTCAGGAAATCACTTTACATCTCTGCCTCCATTTCCTTGGCTGTCAAATGAACATAATGATAACTGCCTCCGCTGAGTGCTTGTGCTTCATTAGAGCAATAAAACATTTCGGAGGAAGGAGTCATAGCTGTGTGAGTTATTAATCCAGCAAGGTCAGGCTGAACTGTCTGTAAACAGATAAAGAAATCGCAGAATGAGCGAAGGGTTTCCTGGAGCAGAGTGGATGCTGATGCTCGGCACGCTGCCTGTGCACAGGGTTGCCAGAGAAGGTGCAGCAGAAGTTTCAAGCCCTGTCAGAACAGGGGGAAGTTAAAAACAGAGTATTTTTGTTTCTCACCTGCCATGTACCCCCTCACTGCAGTGAGCCCTTCAAGCGTTCAATGCACTAGTCTTTTGGGTTTTTTTTTCCACAAAGAGGTTTTGCTTGTTCAGTTCTTCTACGTGGATGTTTTATTAAGATGCTCTGCATGGCTTTTTCGGTACATACGACTAGTTGTGACGTGATTTTATGCTTGAACGCAATAAAATAAAACGAGTCAAGGAGATAAGATACTAAGATAAACAGATGAGCAATGTTTATAAACCATAAGAGTCTCCTAAATTTGATAACCATCAGTTCTAGCCAATATACCCCATGGTGCTAAAGAAAGAAGAAATCAATATTGTAGAAGCTTTTACAGAAAATTTATGAGCACACTTTGTTCGGGAGCAGTCCATGAAGATTGAAGTATAGCTAGCGCTATGCACTTACTTATGAAAGGGCTTATGGAGGAGTCCCTTGTTGAATTCACAGACTCTTCCAGGGAATTAAACTGGGGAATATGGAAATGGGCTTTTAAATTTTTTTTCATTTATTAGTGTATACCCAGAAGAAAGTGCTGTAATAAATCATCAGACTCCTTTGAGTAATGTGGCTGAATAGACAATAACAGTGAAGCATAGTCCCTGCCAAAGTTATTAGGCATACCCGCTCGAGTTTCTATTTTATGAGATAAGTGGATCAGCATGGACTGGTTTGCTAATAGGAATTCCTCCCCCTCCAAACCCCTGCAATAGGCTTTCACTGTATTTAGATACTACTTCCCAATTAAGACAAGGTTGTAGCATGAATAGATACTAACATGTGTAAGTCAGGATATTCTTCCAACAAGCACAGAAGCTGTTTTCTGTGTCACAACACGATGCTTACACTCTTGCACTTACACCTTTCGTGGTTTGATCCCCGCTTCAGGTGTTATTCACTGTCGGCGTTGCTGAGGGAGCGTTGCCATGCAGGGACCAGCCTGTGTCCCAGCCCACGGCCGGGGGCAGCTCCCGTGGGGGTGACAGAGGAGCTCAGCCCCTGTACGGCCACAGGTGACCCAGGTGTGCTCCTGTGCACAGCGATGAATTAAACTTTAAGAAAGTCCAGGAGAACATATAGGGAGGAATTGTTGGTGAGATGAATTATCAGGCATTCAGAAATGGTTGTGAGTTGTCAGTGAATGGAAACAGGGACTGTGAAGATGGAGGAGAGCAGTGTTAAATGAAGCAGCTGACTCTTGTTCTCCCCTGCTCATAATTCGGTCTTCGATGGGGTGTGTTCTGATGAGTTTCTGGTGTTGTCAAGGCAGATGATGAAGTGCCAGATAGGCTCTGTGGCAGTTAAATTCTGCCTCATCTCAACAGAACGCAAGGTGAAACCAGAAATAAGGCTGCTTTAAAAAATTAACATGTGAAAAATGAGCGAGGAGAGCTGCTGGCTGCTGGTGGGAGGTGATGGCACCGAGAAGCAGCAGCCGTCCTGTCGTGCTCAGGCTGGGGAGGCACAGCTGTGGCACCGTGCGCAGTGCAGGCAGCTGGGTCACAGCGGTGCTTCATGTCCCATTTGCTCTCTCAGTAAGAGTTACTTAGATCATTACCTTTCTGCTGCATGTTGTCTATATCTCTTGGATTATAGAGAGAGCTATGAATTTGGTTCACAAGTAATCGAAGCAAATCATGAGCTAAAAATGGTGATGCTGCTCCAGGCAGCTGGGAAGGTGAAGCTGTTGGTGGGTCATGGCAGTGGGCAGGGCCATGTCCCATTTGCTCTCTCAGTAAGAGTTACTTAGATCATTACCTTTCTGCTGCATGTTGTCTATATCTCTTGGATTATAGAGAGAGCTATGAATTTGGTTCACAAGTAATCGAAGCAAATCATGAGCTAAAAATGGTGATGCTGCTCCAGGCAGCTGGGAAGGTGAAGCTGTTGGTGGGTCATGGCAGTGGGCAGGGCTGAGGCTTACGGCACCGCTCACGTAAATGTGGGGAGCTCCCCCGCGCATGGGAAAATGGGGGTGAGGGGAGGACTGTGATTGTGCAGTTTTTACTTTTGCTTTCCACTCTTTTCATCCTATTTACACACACACAAAAAAAAAAAATCCGTCTTGCATCTCCTGTTCCTTCAGACAACAGGATTCTTACTGAAGTGTTCGTGCAGTTGTGTGGATGGAAGGTTTGTCTCTGTCTGTGCAGCAAGACTTGCTTCTTATGTATACTTCAGAGGCTTTATCTAGTCTTAATGAAAAGCATCAAAAATCAGAAAAATCTTTGGTTGAACAGTTAATATTCTAAGTTACACCTGTGTTGCACCTTTTTGCCATACTGCACCACCACGTCTCCCTCATATTTATTTTCTGCTGGCTGCATATTGGAGCACAGAACTCCACAACAGCACAGGAAAACTAGGGGTGTGTCCCCGTAGCACCCCTGCCCAGGAGCCTTGGTCTGGGTCTCTGAGTAACATCTCGAGAAGCATAGATCAGGCTTTGGATGTGTGATGCTTTGCTTCATTTAAAATACTACTTTGAAGCGACACTGAGCAAGTGCTTGGTCCCTTCCTGTGCTGCAGAGGAAGGAGATATTGGGCTGAAAACCAAAAATAAACCAACTACACATAAACACGTATCTCTGCTCGTTGTCAGTAACTTTTTGCCCTAAGGCAAGGTGACAGTGGCATGTCCTCACAGCAGGAGTCAGCTAGACATGATCAATACAGGCAAGAGGAGCAGAGAGATACACAGCAGATCCAGGAAAAGTGTATGTTTCCAGCTCATGATGGTACGTGGCATTAGGGATCTCTCCGGATCCCAGCAGATGATCCAACACGTGGCCTCAGTGGGTTCTTGTTGTTGTACAGTGGGGACAGAGCCATGCTATCAAAGGGCTCCAGAGAGAGATGGGATTGCTCATGTAGCACTGTGTGCCCAGTTAGAAGGGGAAGTAAAGCAGAGAATCTCCATGCTTTGTTTAAAAACCCACAGGTGACCTTTGTGTACCTTGTTTTAAGTTGAAGCTGTGTTTTCCTGGAAATCAAGCTGTCTGGGACTTGCCGTGTCTGCATGGTGGTTCGCTGAATTGGCTGGTGATTTCTATGTAGTCGCTTCACTGTTTCCCTGCTGCGGCTGGAAGCAAGCGCTGCTGCATCTCCACCTTTGCCTACAAGGAGTCTGATGCCAGACTTCACTAAGACATTGGGCACAAGCTATAATTTAGACATTAATACTCTTTCAGCAATGAAAATCACTACTCTGATCTCCCCCAGGGAATTGTCCAGTCCTTTTGCATGTACGCACCTTTATGCTAATCTCACTTTAACAGTTTTCTTGCTAAGGTGTTGTTTTGGTGAATCATACCTATCAGAGTGTATTTTCCTCTTCCCTGGTCTCATTCCTGTTGTTCATGCTTTTTTCTTGTTACTCTTATTAAAATGCCTCTACTTCACTCTTGTTTTCCTTTGAATATTTGAATAATTAACAGCAGTAGGCGCAGAAAGATTTCTGTGGATGTGAACTGTGTTGGTAAGTGCTGAGTAGGGAAGGTGGGGCAATGGGGAGCGCCTTCATTCAGCAGCAGCTTTCCAGCACTTCCTTGGCTTCCTGTTTGTGCAGAGAGCTTTCAGACAGCCTTCCCGGTGTTCCTCTAATCTTTAAATGCATGTTTTCCAAATGTGTTCCACAGGTGCCAACAAAAAAGCTGAAGAAATATGAGAGAGAGTACCAAACAATGCGGGAGAGTCAGCTGCAGCAGGAAGATCCTATGGACAGATACAAGGTACAGGCGATGCTCTGTGGGAACCTGTTTCCTTGGCTGAATGCCCCGGGGAGTGACCCCCTTCCCACGGTTAAGCAGAGGTGTGTGTACCATGCTCACCTCTCTGGGATATGCTGATGCAGACCTTAGGGAAGTGAAGTGGTAGGTGAAGCTCAATCCCCTTTCTTAAGCAAGCACTTTGAACACTTAAGTGTTTTTTCCAGGAATATTTCAATCATAATTTGTAATTCTCAAGACATCTGCAAGTAGCCACATATAATATTTTTCTTCTTTCAGTTTATATGTTTGTAGGTAACTCTCCTGCTGTTGCACTTTTACGGGAGATCTTCATGAGACGCAGAAACAAAGGGTGATTCTCAGCTACAGACACAAAAGGAGAAAATACACATTGTTGTAGCACAAGCTGTGTGCAGTGGCATCCACAGAGACTTTTGGAAGATGAACTCTTCCTTGACTGATATGATCCTTGTTATTCATCTCTGTTTATACCAAGCGTTAGTAATCATTTGTTAACATAATGCCTAGTACAGTGGGACCCAGAGCTCTCCTGGGGTCCCAAGGTACTACTGCAATAGTAATAAATATCCTGCTTTAAAGCAGCAGAGACATAAAGGTTCAGTTATTGATATGATAGCTTGATAGTTCACCAAAAAAGAATAGTTCTTTAATTTGGGATCAGCATTGCTTATCTTTACAATGTATTTGCTTTTATTGTCACTACTACATTTTGTTGCCAGAGATTTTTGTGTGATGGAGGTTCTGCCTCTAGACAAATACTTCACTTAGTGTTCAGGATCCATTTATTGCTTACCCTGTTTTGAAAAATCCAGTTTTCTTGAGGTGAAGCTGCCAGAGATGAAGCACTTTACTGCCCATTGCCCAGGTGAGCTGGGAACTGACATTGCTTAGGTACACCTGTACTGTTTTCCTGCTGTTCTTTGTTGTGCCTAATATGTTAAGTGAGATTGTGGTTGGTACAGAGTTCACCAGGAGTGGGGAGTAGTAAATAATCACACAGGGTGCAACAGTTTTACATGGGCTGTGAATGTAAGGAAAGGGCACCCCATTCAGAAAACCACAGTATGAAAATCCACAGTGAAAGACTGTTGCTACATGTGGCGAGATAGAGTTACAGGTACAGACAAAGTAAAACTGACTTTTTTTTTTTTTACAAGTATTTACCTGTGAAAAATTATCTTTTGAGTGTAGTTCTTTTGATGTCAAGGATGTAGATTTTATTGTTTGTGAAAACTGGGACTGCTGCAGCAGATGAGCACCAGCAGTGAGTATGACCTGTTCAAAAAAACCCCCCACTTGCTGCTGATTCATTTCTGACTAAGTATTTTTCCAGTGGTTCACTTGTAGTACTGTGGAATTAAAATAGTACTTAGAAAACAAATTAGGCTTCTTTAAAGCTCTGTGGAGGCATATTAACTAGTTAATCTTGGGCGATGGACAGTGAAGAACGTTATCCCCAAGCTGCAAATGAGGATATAGAAAGTGACTCTTTGGCCACCGTTTATGTGAGTCACAGACAAGATCACAGCCCAGGGTTTTGGCCTGTGCTTTTGAAACTCACTGTGTGATTTATTTTTTTTTTAATTAAGCCAATTGGGTCTGATCCTCTTAGTGATGCTGTGATTAGAGAGAGCCCCTGTAACTGGTTAGTTGCACATTAAGTTCAAAGTTCGGATGCATTCTTCAGCTGATGGGTGTCATGGAGAAACACTTGTAAGTGCTCTCTGTTCCGTGCCTTGCTTGCTTGATTTTATTAGTATGTCAAGCTGAGGTTGGTAGGAATTGACATTTCAATAATGTTTCTGACGGGCAGCAAGAAACACAAGCTGTGTGGGTCCTCGCAGGCAGAAAGTGGAGAGCCAGCTTTGCTTGTCCCTTAAATGATTGCCCTGCAGCCCGTGTGGGTAGAAATGCATTTCATTTTGGCAGCATCTGTGCTAGACTTTGCCCAGCCGGGCTTGGTTTGGGAAAGGGCTGAGTCTACACTGCTAGAAAGCATCTGAGCACAGCATTGCTGTTAGCTCTCTCAGTTCTTACAGTTTCTCTTCCCAGAATAAAACTAGTTTTAGGTTTACTGCCCAGGAAGGGGAAGTTTCTTGGATGGGATCACTGGAGTGGAGATCCCTGCAGAATCTTATAGGTCAAGAACGAAGCAGGCTTTCAGTCTGTTGATAGTTTTTAGTTATAGTTGTTGGAGTTTCTGTTGGTTGCAGTATGTTACAGGTTCTTTTATTGCCAATAGAGATTTGTCAGGACCACAGAGACACTGTCACTGCTGAGTTGCAGTGATGAAGGATGTCTCAAGTAAGACACCTCCCGGTGACCTGTCCCGCAGTGGAAATGGCTGGATGGACGGTCAAGGAGTAGGAGATGGGCTGTGTGTGGCACTGGGGTGGGAGCAGCTGCTGCAATGGCAGCGGGGCCTGTGCTGCACTGCTGTCACCTCCTGGTCTGTCCCTGCCGCACTGGGAGCGGTGTGGAGGGAATTTGCGTGAGCTGATGTAGCTCTCCATGCAGGTCTGACTCTCACCCCAGCATCCAGGGGACATCAGGACCGAAGCAGAGCAGGGTGAGAGCCCCACACTTCTGCCTCTCCTCCCAGCGCCCAGGTCCGAGGTGTGTTCCCAAGCACGGGAACCGGGTGGCTGAGCAGCCGCCGGGAATGCCAGGAGAGAGATGCTTCCTGCCCGAGGGCAGCTCAGGGTGCTCCCCAACTCCTCCGGCTCCAGGCTCTCCAGAGCATCCAGAAAAGAGCTGAGTTTGCATCATCTGCCCTGACATTAACCAGCCACATTTTATTGGCGGGTTAAATTCATTAGCTGCAATAAGCTGTGTTAACGTGCCACAGGAGTTCCTGCCCTGCTTGTCTTTTATGTGTTGATTGTGATTTGATTTACTAAAAGAACAGTATTAAAGAGTGACGTTATTTTTGGTGTTTGTTTCTTTATGTATTTACAGCTATTATTTAGGAAAGGTGTATTTTTTTTATGGACAATTTTCACTTTATTTTACATTGCTTATAACAAATTATCACTCACATTTTTGTCAGATTTTTAAAAGGTGCAAAAGTAAATATATTCCAAATTGCTGTTTGTCACCTAATTTCTTGACTTTTGGTTAAAATAAATTACAAATTGCCTAGAGAAGCCAGGGAGAAAAGTGAGTTACATGTGCAGAAAAATAGCTATATAGTTCAGATTGATACTTTTTTATATATTATGGAGGTTTTCCCTGTGTTTGAGAATACCTCACGTAATAGGGTTTTGGTTGATGCAATGAGAAATTGCCATAGTGGGGCTTCAGGCTTCTTGATTTAAAAGAAGAGGATACAACCAAACAGAGAAGGGCTGGAATTTTGCAAGCCGACCCTGCTTGTGCCCACAGTTCTGTTCTGAGCGTAGAAATGACTTTTCCTCTGTGGACCTTGTGCAACGGAGAAGTTGTCTGTCTGAATAAATGTGTAATTTGGACATAATAGCCTTTTGCGTGTCTGAAGTGGAAGCAAAAATTAATATACTGGTCATTTTTATTCAGAGTCATGGTAACTGTCAGGAAGAAAAACGTAAGATAACTCTTGATGTGGATCATTGTTTGTTTGTGGTTTTTAAAAAGAAGCGTGCTGGGGAACTTTTGGGAATAGTTCTTCAGAGTCAACAACCAGAAAACACAAACCACCTCCAGGAAACCTCTGTGTTGCTTCCCATGTGAGGTTTTCCTGTATAGTTTGCTGTAAAAGCCTTTTGGGTTTCTAGATGGAGGTTCACAGGGTTTTCCTTCACAGCTCCTCCGCAATCCAGAGCCCTTTCCAATGGGTTTATGAAGACTTCAGTTTGCTCACATCCAGACATGTGAATTTTAACTAGTGTGTTAATTCCACCATTGAGGATCTGTTCGTGCCCAAAGATCTGAGGTTTGGGCGTTTGCTCATCAGAAAATGTGACGCTGAATTGCTTAACCAGGTTTGTGACTCGTTCCACCCCTCTTGAGTAGCAGCACAGAGAGGATGCATCATCGCCACTAATCTTGTCAGGAATTGCTCCTCCATGCGGGCTGGAAGGGAGCAGAGGGTGGAGTTCAGCCTTTCAGTCTTCCCGAGCTGAGGCTTGCCTACAGCTTTCAATTTGCTGCCCTCCTTCTGCCTGGTGTGTGATGGAAGCTGGAATATATCCTCTTTAACAAAAACCCACTGAAGAATCAGCAACTTTTTTTTTTTTTTGGCTTTGTTGGTATTAAAAATTATTTTATATCCTGTTTTCACTGTCTTTACACCAATGGTTGAAAGCAGTGTTTGGTCTGTGACTTTACAGGAGGTAAGTTTATTTGTGTTTGTATGTATCAGCAGTGTTTGTCCCTTTTGGAAATGCAGTATCCTCCTTTTAAAAGCTAACCAGGCTTCACCAGCTGCCTTTTGTAACTGGAAGGAGGAATTTGGGAAAGAGGAATCTTTTATTTTACTGATTGTAGAAACTGATCAATGCCAAAGAGAAGGAAATGGTTGTCGTAGCCAGTAAGTTGTCAGTGCAGTGGTGTGTAGAGACCAGGCAGGAAGCTCTCTGTTTACACCAAGGACAGCCAGCAGGTCTGACTAGTTGGCTTATGGCAGGTTACAAAATGCTGCCTGTGGTGCGAGTCCAGCTCCATCTGCTGAACTTTATATCATTGCGAATGGTATTTGATAAAACCCCGTAAATATTTCAGAGCCGTTGGAAGTAATTTGCTACATGCAAAAAGCACTGATTGCTATTTTTGTCTTTACTGTGTAACTTTAGGTTTTATTTAGACTTAAGCAGACTAAGAGTTTCCTCCTGAGGTAGGAGGTGGTTTTTCACGGCTAGATCTGGGGGGAGGAGCTGGAAAAGACAAACCATCTAATCGCCCATACTGCCCTGTGTGAAGGAGGAGTAGAGCCTATAAGGGGCTTTCAGCTGGAAATTAAAAAAGTATGGTGAATGAGATAAAAACATCTCGTAGCTATTGACTGGATGCCCAAGGTAAGAGATATTTAACTTACTAAAAACATGCCATGTAAATTCTAGTTTAAGAGGAGGATAGCGCATTTCCAACCACGTAGCTTGCTTACCCACTTGTCTGCGAATGCAAAGCAGGAACTTTGAACTTCACGTTGTGCAGCTTGCTTTGCGGACACTGAAGCTTTTGGCAAAAGCATAGCAAGAATGTTAAAGCAAACTTCTTTCTGGGTTATTTTGTGGAATTCTTAAGAATTTGCTGATTTCTCCCTCTAAGCAACATCCCTATGAAAAGGTGCTGCAGCACCTGGCAGCAATACCGTCCTGATCTGGTCCCAGTTTTTAGGTGAACTGAAGTTGCTTTCTGACAGCGGCTCACTGGCAGAGCTGTGTCTATAAAAATCCACATTTCCAAGATAGTCTCAACAAAATAGCAAAATAAAGACGCAGTGGAGCCTTTTAATATTACTAAAGACTGCAATTTGGTTTTACATTTTATATTCTCTTTAGAGAATAATTTTACTTTTGAAAATTCCTTGTGCCAAACAGAACACAGTGCAATTAAAATAAAAAAGATCCCCAAAGTTGTATGTGTTTTAACAATCATTATTTTAACTGTGTTAAAAATATCTTACAGTTTCTGTAACAAAACAAGTTATTTAAAGTACAGTCTTTTGGAAAGGAAACAAACTTACTTTCCTGCACAGGGCAGTGCACAGTCTAGTTGCACAATAGGGTCACATTAAGGAGAAAGTATTTGCAGAGGTTCTGCTTCCTGCCACAGAGGAAGCTCTCACACAGAAGGGACCTTTTTTAGCATCCTCTTAGAGCTGCAGTTGCCCTTTTTTGTTTAAGACAAGCATGCAAAATCTTCTTGCAACAGAAATGAAAATTGCAGTTTCATGGTGGTGAGTTTGGAACAAAAAAAAAAAATATCTGAGCGTAACTGGTGAGCAGGAGGAAGTGAAGACAGGTGAATAATGTGCTTATGCAAATAAATCACATTTTGTAGGAGGGCGTTCACTGAGCAACTCTTGGAATTTTTTTTGCTGTCTTAAGTGCTGATATGTATTTCCTTTTACTGTTTTTTCTTGGGGAACATAACTTACCTTTCAAGTGAGCACAAGTCCTTTTTGAAATCTCAGCATGTAGGTTATTGTTCCTCTGCCTATGAGTTTACACATGAACTTGGTATTTTTCCTTGAGTTTCCAGAGCCCTTTGCAGTCTCTTTTGGTATGAAAGATACACGATCATTGTGTGACTGAAGACCGGCACATTTTTTGTTCTCCTAAAACCCATTTGAGGAGGGCAAAGATGAAGACGTGTATTTGATGTGGACTCCTGAAAGTCCACTGACCCACAGAAATCTTTTGGATGTGATTGTTTTTCTCAGGCCTAGAACAGTCACTGAAACTGTTTTTTTAAAAACATGAGTTACTACTGTTCATTCTTCTCCAGTGTATTTACCTTCTCCAGTGTTCTACGCAGTCACTTCTGCCTGTGCAGAGGGGGTAGGGAGTGCAGTGCAGCGAGGACCAGGGCTCTCAGTCTCCAAGTTCTGCATTTTGTGTTGCCATGCAGTGCCCATCAAGCAGGTTCTGGGCTTGTGCTCAAGGAGTGAGGTCCCCTCTCCAGCTAGCACTTTTTCTCAGCAGGTTTCCTGTAAAACATGCATTGTTGTCACTGGTGCAAGCTACAGAGGAAATGCACAAATGGCGATACAGATCATACAAGCTGTAGGGAGTTCCCTGCTAAATGCTGAGTTCTTTACTGGTCCTGCAGAAGATGGAGGGTTGGCACTACATCCTCTACAAAATGGACTATTTTTTATGGATTCTTTCAGACAAAATTTTGGAAAATGGTGCAGGACAGCTTTCTGCTTTCAATTGGAAACATTAGTATCTCTTAACTGGACCCTGTTCACTGCTGCTGGGTGGGATTTTATCTGCCTAATTTCTTTTGATGGTGAGCAAGCAGAAACCAAGTGCTTTTGTGGAGAGGACTGTGTTTACTTTTGACAGAGAAATCTTACAATCATTGTGTCACTTATGCAACACAAACATAACCATTGGGATGTAAATGGAATCGCTGCATTTGCACTGCTGGCTTAATTCACTGTTGTTTCCCAGAGCAGCAGTCCTGTCTTAATGTGCACTCTTGCCTTCTCAGTGTTTTACACACACAATATACTCACTTATTGCTCTTTAATTGTGATAAGGATTAACTTGCTTTTCTGGTTGTTCCTTTCTTTCTGCAGAGGGAGAACCGCAGGCTCCAAGAAGCAAGCATGCGGCTGGAGCAGGAGAACGATGACCTTGCCCATGAGCTTGTAACAAGCAAAATTGCCTTACGGAATGACCTGGACCAGGTAACGCTGACAGAGATGTGTCCCAGCTCAGGTGTGGCAACACCGATTTAGGAGCCCTGCTTTGTGGTGCAGTGAAAGCATGAACACAACATGGAAAGTATAATTGTGCCTTTATTTTCCTGACAACCTCACTTCTAGTTGCAGTCAAAAGGCCGGATTTCTACATGTGTGCAACTGTTGGCATTCACAGTGGTGTTTTAACAACACCGACTGCACCTTCTCTTTTGTGGGTTGTTTCAGAAAATGTAAGCTATAACCTTAAGGCAGAGACCAAAGATTGAACATTTACTTGAAAAAGGTACCGTGTACTTCTCCCTTGAAAGACAAATTTCAAGGGAAGTTGCCTTGCAGAATGTCTGACACCTAACGTGGAGATGTGTTTTTCACAGCGGTTTCAGTACAGCCAACAAAATTCAGAGATCATGAAGTGGCATGGCACCAAAAATTAGAAGAGCTCCTGGGTGTCCTTTGATAACTGCTTTTGTTTCTTGTGAGGACTGGAATGTGTAGGGCAGCAACGTTCAGAGCCCTTTATCTCAGAGATGCCTGTCAGAGAACTACACATTCAGCCATCCTCTTTCTGGAGTGTTTTGTGTAGTATTGATAAATTCCTTAACAGCTATTAGTAAGGTACTGAATAGGAGGGCCATACTCCAAAACCTCGCGATTAGCGCCTTGCTCAGTGAGGGCTGTAGTGCCTTTTATAACATAGAATCTTTTCCTCCAAGGGCCTCTCAAGTTGATTTCCCATAGTTATTTGGTTTTCTTTATCTACCCTCAAAATTGTAAACATCGTTGACCATAGTTGTGCAATTTGTATTCCTGTTCAGTCAGACCCTTGACAGTTAGGCTCTGCTCATTTGGATCCATGTGATTCTAAAAATCTGAGCTGTCCTGGTGAGCAAACACAGGCAGAGATACACTGTGCGTGGTGGAGTGGGCAGTCTCGTGTGAAGGCCAGAAGCAACGTGCTGAGGTGCCGTTTCCCCCAGGAACAGCTGTACGTAGAGCAGCTTTAGGTCTGCTGCTGCCCGTGCTTGTTTTTTCTCAAGTACCATGACAAGGCTGCCAAGCACGTACCTTTGCCAGTCCCATTCCTTGCTCTGCTGCATTTTAGCAGTCTTTCTGTAGATAAGGGTGGTCCATGAAGTTTTCCCACACCCTGCCTCAGTTTCCTGGCACAGAAAGCAAAGCTTTGTGCTGCTGCACTCATCTGCAAGGACAGGTGATACTGTGTGCCACTGCAGCTGCTTGGAGAACCTGGAATGAACACACGAAAGGAGGAAAGATCTGTAGTTCCTTCCAAGCATATCTTAAACGGGTCTTTCATCAAAAATATCCTTGTCATCCCTGAGTTCTTTCATTCCAATATGTCAATCTTACAAATTTTCTGTTCTTTCACTGCTTGTTTTCCTTTCTCCCATGCAGCCACATACACACTAAGCAATGCAGGAATCCTCAATCTGTCTCTTCAGTTGTGGCCCTGGTGGAGCTACTTCTGCTACCCCCAGGCATCACGAACACCCTCATTAATAATTAGCACTGTGGCAGATAGAGAAGCTAATACCACCAGTAGTGGCAGAAAAACAAACTGCAACTCGGAGACAAGTTCCATACTGTTATTTGTTGTTTACAATACCATTTCCCCTCTTGGATTTTCAGCAAACTATTATTTGAGCACAACCGTTGCCTGTTCTAGCACCTCGTTGCTGAGCAGGAGGAGCTGTGCGATGCAGTGTCTGTCTCCCAGTTGGGGAGGTCAACAGCATATATCCAGACATTGAGAAATACATTTCTCTCCTGGTGATCGGTGAGGATAGTGTTCACAAAAACAAAGCATTCCTAATACGTTTCACCATAAGCTTAGCCCTTCAAAGAAAGGAGACAATTCATATTCTCCAATACGCATCCAGTATCAAGTTTCTCAGGCAGTACTTATTTGCACTGATAACCAAACCATTTTATCTGGTGGTCCTGTTTGTCTCTTTTCTATTTGTCTAAGCCCAGGCACTTGGTAAGGTACAGTGCAGGCAGTTAATGTTTTCCACAGTATCTGGTTTCCCCACTTACAGATACAAAAATGGAATGGGTTAGCTGAAGTTACACAGAAGCTATATCATGCTGACCTCACTTAGATCAATATTGTTCCCAACAAAAATACATCATGGTTTGTATTAGGTTTGTGTTAGAACATGGTATTATGTATGGTTACTTGTCATCTGGGCATAGGTTAGCTTTTGGCAAAAGGGTCCTTTTGCACAGTTGTTGAAACACAATGAAATAACTTAGAAAATACCTGCTTGAAAAGGGAATTTCATATTAAAAAAATAAGTTAGGTGAGCTATCAGAGGGCAGGAAAAGGCAGCTCTAGAACGTGAATCTGTAGTATTTCTGAGAGGTATATACCAATATGTTTGTATTGGCACAGATAACATCTGGTTTTCACCAGCATTTCTAATTCTAGGCTGAAGACAAAGCTGATGTTTTGAACAAGGAGCTTCTCCTGACCAAACAGAAACTAGTGGAGACTGAGGAAGAGAAGCGGAAGCAGGAAGAGGAAACTGCTCAGGTAAGGCATTCTCCAGCTCTTCCCATTTAGCAAGCAGAGGGTATGTAGGAAAAGCATGAATGCATTGCAGTAGCAGAAAGGATTTTGTCTTCAAAATGCATTTGCAATTAAAAATTTACAATGCCAGGGTAATTAAAAAAAAAAAGTACTTTTTTCAGTGTTTTCTTTTACTTGAGCTCTGAACGTTCAGTTTTCCATACCTTATTCTCTTCCCAGTATTGTAATAATCATTTTCACTGGTGGTGAGCAATTGCAACTATGGAGATGTGATCAGACCTCTTTTAATTACCTGAACAAGGAGCTGGAGGAGTTGTTGCCTTATACGAGGCCATTGTGGATTCAGCTGCTGGTTCACTGAAATACAGCTGTGAGCTGTCTGAAGCTAGAACCAACAGCAGAACAGACTTGAGAGAATTTTGCTGGCTAGACCTGGTCTCATACTCGTTTGCATTGTGTTCAATCTTAGTTTTTTAATTGTATGTATCTAATGTGCTGAATACTGACATATGCAAAAGTACGTTTCGAAAGCAATACCCTGATTTTTATTTTTGCCATTTGACAACAGTGACTACAACAATCAAACAGTAACTATTTTTCGCTCTCTAAAATGGAGGTTGCCAGGTTCTCTGTTTGCTATAAACAAGGCAGTGGATGTCTTCTTCCTACTGAAAGGGCTCTCTAAATTTAGTGGTTCTGAAGGGTGGAGGAATGAGTTACCTGTATTTTCACTCAGTGCCACAGACGAAAACAGATTTTTTTTTCTCCTGTTACAGAGATGAGAGTGATAGTCCCGAGATTTTTCTCCCTGTTCCATCTCTAAACAAACAGATTATCTGTGCAAACCTGCTGCGACAGCATGCAGAGAAATAAAAACAAAATCAGTAAAATCCACTTATTAGTAATGCGTGTTTTGTATTCTGTGGACCACGCTGTATCAGGATTTAACGCAGAGAAAGAGAATTTACCCTACAGAATTGTCTAAGCAGGGATACACTGTATTGCAGTATAGACTTTTTGGTTATAACTGAATATAATAAGTATTTGTATATTGAGTAAATTAGACTTTTGTCTGAAGAACTGGAATTTGGCAAGGAAAAGCTGTAGAACTGTTGTAAACACAAGAAGACTTTTGAGAGAACAATCTGATGACATTTTGAAAACATCTTTCAGTGTACTGTGTAACTTCTCCCCTTCAATTCCTAGCTGAAGGAAGTCTTCAGGAAGCAGCTAGAGAAGGCAGAATCCGAGATTAAGAAAACCACAGCCATTATTGCAGAGTATAAACAGGTACTGTTCTAGAGACACTTCCTCATATTTATTTGTCAGCTTCTTTCAACCTGTTCTGAGAGCTGAATTTTCAGAGTTGCAGATCTCATCCTTTAAAGAAGATACTCTCTATTTCAGGCTTTCAGAGAGCAAGCATTGTAACTTGTCATAAATCTTTTTGTGGTTTTCCCAATAGTCTCCTAATTTAGGGAATCAGGAAGAACCTGTCTTTCAGCTAGTTTTAGTACTGTTGGGTGAATGCTTCTTTGCTCTGTGACATAACACAGTGTAAACATTATAAACCAATTAATCCACAAAATGTTGAATGTATTGAATACCACCATTTGTTTTCAGTCTTGATATCAGCAGCAGTGGATTTGTGAAGGAGAATGCATATACCTCAGCGAGGCTGAATTTAAGAAGTGTTGGCTCTGACAAAAATCATTGTTAAAAAAGCACAGGTTATATTTAAGTATAGTGAACTTTAGCTAAGAGACTGCTTTCTCTGCTCCAGATTTGTTCCCAGCTGAGTACCAGGCTGGAAAAACAACAAGCGGCCAGTAAAGATGAACTGGAAGTTGTGAAGGTGAGAAAGATGCCTCTATGGGATGTCCCTAACGCAAGTATTGCTGAATGCCAGGGATACAGAACAAACTGTGAATTGAAGTTTAATGTAACAGCAGCAGTGTCCACCCAGCTGCACTGATAGCCCTATGTGCATTTTTCATGGGACGCAAACAATGAACAGGTTTACTTCCTTTCACTGTTCCTTATCTTGTATTAGACAGGTTGGAACTCTCAAACTGAAGTGCATATAGTATTTGGCTTTTCTTTTTCCTGTCAAAATGTATACTTTTGGCAAAACACGTAGAGAGACAGTATTTACTTGAATGTTTTAATTAAATGGAAAAAAAAGGCTCTCTAGGAGAGAAAACGTGTTGCTTCTCCAGTGTGCACAGTGGAGGAGTCGGAACTGGCTGACTCGGACACTGTTTATATTTGGGTTTCTGGAATTTAAACAGAGTTGGCTTAAGTAATTGGGACAGCTTGGGCCATCCCCAGGATTTCCATAGCAGTTCCTCTCCCTTCTCTAAACCCCCTTAACCAGGAACATCTGCACTAGAGCTGAACGTTTCCTTAGCAGGTAATAATCCCATCCCTCTGCTTTGTCACTACTGAATAGGCAGAATTGTTTTCCCTCTGCTATAGCTTCTAGTTGTTTTTTCTACTAGAAGCTTGTAGTACTCAAACTGAACCTGATTTGTTGCTTTTTAGTGACTTTTTTATGCTATTGATACAAAAAATATAATTCTAGGATTGATGTTCCTATAATGTGCTGCAACAGCTGAATGTCCTGTTTGAGTTTGTGTGAGCCAGGCCAGCTGTGCTGCATCTTTAGCCCTGAGTTCACCTCTGCAAGTAGCACGAGACCCTTACTGTTGTGTGTCAGGCGTTGCTGGCAAAAAGGGCCATCCCCTACGATGCTAAACAAGCACCACAGGACAGTATCGCCCCTTGCAGCCAGTGCAGGCTGCTTGCTTGCTTCTGGAAATATGGAAATGCTACCTGGTGTTCTTTAAAATATCACAATCTGTATGACTTTGTCCAAGTGCTGTTTTGGAAGACAAAAAGGCCCTAGAGTGTCATTTACTCTTCTGGCTGGCATAAACACTGCAAAATATTACAAAGCTTTGGTAGCAAGAGACCTTGGGTAATTTTAATCTACGAGCAAAGTCTCTGTGCTTAGACACAGCATGCTAAGTAGATTTTAGGACTTTTTATACTGGTTAATATGTGCTGGAAATTGTTCATGAGCTTCTCAAACTCTTTTTACGTCCAGTAGAAAAACTGCAGTACCAGATAGTTTGAGACTACTGACAGAAAGGCAGTCTTAACATAAAAATGCCTCTTCCAGGAAGCAGAGCAACTCCTGTAACGCGGACTGAAAAAGAGCTTTCTGGGTATTTCAGGGTAAAGTGATGGCCTGCAAACACTGCAGTGAGATTTTCAGTAAGGAGGGGGCGCTGAAGCTGCCTGCTGTAACCACGGAGAATAAAGGCATAGAAATGGATGATGAGAAGGATGCACTGAAGAAGCAGCTGAGAGAGATGGAGCTGGAACTTGCACAGACCAAACTGCAGCTTGTGGAAGCCAAGTGCAAAATCCAGGTATGTGGAATTCCAGTGCAGCAGGGCAGTCTCCTTAACCTCCTTGGACTCAGTCCAAAATAAATCTGAATCATGCAAAAAACTGTTCCAAAAATGAGCATATACCTATACCACTGTATACCTGGGAATGTCCATAAACATTTTGTCTTAAAAAAAAGAGAAGAAATTAGGTTTTCATTTGTATATTCAAATACCTTCTGCTGTTTCCACTATTTTAACCTGTCTTCCCTCCCCAGTGCCTGGGAGGTTGCAAGGAAAGTGCTGGATTGCAGGGACTGAGTTTGAGGATGCTTTTTTGTTAATTCTTTGTTTTTTGATCAATTCTGACTATTCTGCTTTCTTAGGAGCTGGAGCACCAGAGAGGAGCCCTTATGAATGAAATCCAAGCTGCCAAAAACTCTTGGTTTAGCAAAACCCTGAACTCTATCAAAACGGCCACAGGCACACAGCCACCGCAGCAGCCTCAGCCACCCCTGCCACCCAAAGAGGGGAGCACATAGTTCCAGCCAGACCCGATACCAGAGCACAAAGAACACCACAACTGAAACCCTGGAGGATTCTTCCAGTGGTCTCTCCTCTTGGGGAAAGGACAAAAGGCAGGAGTGCAGGCTTGAAGTGAAATTCTTCGGTGTTTTTCATTCATTCTGATGTGACCCTTTTCAAAGGGGGAAAAAAAATAATTACTGTTTTATGTTGAATTCTTACTTCCCAAACTGCCTTGCTGAAAGCCACGTTCTGGTACCTTCATACTTTTACACTTTATTTTATATGACTAGATGTTAAATAAATACTTCAAAACTAGGTCTTTAATACATGACTAATTATCCAAAATTATTTTTATCTCGCATAGAAGGTTTTTTCTTCTTCTGGAGGAAGAGAGAATGGAAAATGTAAAATACTGAAGCATAATCTCTTCGTAGAAAGCACAGTGTAATAAGTACTAGTGTGTGTGCGGGTGTCTAGGATAACTTATGCCCTGGGACCATCTCAGAAGTTTATCGCAGTGACTGCGTCCTGCAGAGAAGCACTTTTTGTAAAGCTTAGGCTATAGCAAAGGTAGTCTTGTGCTCTCTTGGCACAATCGTTTATGAGCTTCCCTCATAAATTCTTAGTTTGATTGTTTTTTCTTCAGAAATGCAGTAGTGCAGTTCTTCGTAGCACTGTTGTTTAAAGGCTATTTGCAGCTGAACTGAAATTTAACATAAAGTTATCTAGTTCCCTTTTTTATTTCATGTTTATACTTAGAGTTCCAAGAAATAATTCCTTCCTCTGGGATAAAGGGAAAACTGTTCAACATTTATTTGATGGTTTTGCTGAGAAGCAGAGTGAAGACCTTGCATAGTTTTGACCTTTTGTAAATCCTGTGCAATAAAGGGTAGGTTTTATGAATAAAAGTAATGAAAACCTTTCCCTGGGTCTATATTAAAATTCTGAATTTGACGCAAAATGGGGTATCAAATAAAAAACCCAAAAGGCTTGTGCTGCACTGATGAATAAAACATCACAGAAGCAAGATCTGTTTGCTAGAAGTATTTGGTTAGGAAATGCTATGTTGGTATTACTTATTTTTATAAAAACAAACATTTACAAGTGGAATACAAAACCTAGACTTTCCTGCAGGGTAGACTTCTCTGATGATTCCCAAAACTGTCTGGTTGTTTTGTATCTCTTAAGGTAAGAAAATTCAAAAGCATTTGTTTTGACTGAACATAAAGTGTTTATAGAAATACTTATTTCATGGAAAATAAAACTATTGCTTGAACTGATGGAATATTTTTTTAAGTATACTTGTCGTGTCTGAAGATGGTCTTGCAGGTAAATATCACTGCTGGACTAAAGGTTGTGTATTAATTGTTCCATTTACAAAATTGTTCCAGGGCCATTAGTTCTGTTTTGATTTTTTTTTTTTTTTAATTCTAAGGAATGCCATATCTTGTCAGTTTTGTACAATAAAATTTAATGATAACCATCTTGTGCTTTGTTGTCAAGCATAATTGTGAATTATTTTAAAGAGGGTAGTATGAATTTAATGTTACCTGTGCCAAATGAATGATTCTGAAAGGCAGTCAGCTGTTTGAAGTAGAGATCAAAATATAATTGCTATCCTGACACAACTATCCTGCAATGAAATCCTCTCTTCTAAGACTAGGAGTTTAAAAAATTTTAATATTTTAAATGTACCTGCAAGAACAAAGATTATCTCGAAATACTAATACAGTGAGGAAAAAATTGAGGGGGAAGAGCAGAAGGAATTTATTTTGCAAATATTAACAAAGAGATATCTGTTTCTCCGGTCACTTTCTTGCTAATAATATTTGCATAAATGTTTCCATTCTCTTGACTGTCTAAACCTAGTGTTAGTCATTCACTTACCAGTTCCACTTCACACTCGACCTGCATAATAAATGTGAAGTGACATTTAAGAATAGCAGATGAACATCTGATGGTTACATTTGAGAGTACTGTGCCAATGACACTGGTGGTGTGACAAGTGTCCAGATCTCTCATTTCATTTATTGTAAATAATACTTAGAAGTGGATTTAAAATTTGATTGGAAAAATGCAGTAATAATAATAAAGAAATGGTTAAGACTGTGATTCATTGAGCAGCTGAGGTAACAGCTCTCTGCTTCTCAAAGATCTCACCCACCCCTCCAGCTCCCTGTTGTACATCATGTCCCTTGTCCTTGTTATGGCACTTACTGGAGATGATTAAAAACAAACACAAAGATGTGGGTGGATTTCCCCCACCCTCCCATTAGTCTTTTGCCAAGTTAAATTATCTCAAAGGGTCCCATGAGTGCAAGCAGATCATGGGAGTGGGACTTCAGTTCATCAGAAAAGGACTGTTAAATACGCTCACCACATTTCATGGAACTAGCTTTGACACAACATCATCTTCCTCAGTGTAGCAGCTCTCTGACTTTGGAAGTTGAGTTTCTGTGACAAAAACATGTTTGCTACCTGCTAGCCATGATGATTTCAAAACCTTGTAGGATGGAAGCTGGTTTACATCAGCAAAAAAAGTTTCAGAAGGCAGTGGCTGCATTATCACTCCTGGCAATGACGTAAAGGCAGTGAACAATTTCCACCTTCTAATCTGTAGATCCAAGGTAGCGTTTGTAGCGGTGGCATTTGGAAAAGTAATATTTGTGTGGAAACTGTCTTCTCAAAACTGTCAAAAGAGTAAGAAAATAGCTGTATGGCATTATCTTGATGAATAAGCACAGTTCTATTCAAAAACAAGGAAAGGAGCAAGACTGCAGGATTAAACCAGGCAAGCTAAAATCCTGCTGGCTGACTGTACATGCTATTGGGCAACTGAGCTTTCTGTGAAAAAATAAATCTAGGCTTTAATTAGCCCTTTGAGCAGTGTGTGACAGAGCTACATGCACACATATCCCAGACCGAATGATGTGAGGGATAGCTGGCTCATTGTTTAGATTTTCACCAGGAAATATCATCAAAGTCTCACTGAAACTTATTTTCATGTGGCACTGGAACAGCTAACATAGCTCCTAAGTCTGGAGTGATTAATATTTTTTCCTGAGTCAGTATTAAACTATGTGTCCACATCAAACTTATATTTAAAGTAATCTGAATTTTATAAATATATGTGTGAAACTAAATCTTATTTTTTCACTTTATTGAGAATGCACAGTTCTGAAATAAAGACTTTGATTTGGGACAAACCTCCAAAGACTAGTACAACTGTTTTATCTTGTTGGATTCTTATCTCTTCCCAAGATGCCCAATATGGGGAGGGGAAGTTGTTTTTTCACTTTAAAAAGAAATTGTTTTTACTTTGACTGTAACACTTTACAGGATAAATGAAGCAAGGCTGATTAAGTTACATGGTAGATCTGTGAAGGAGTCTTGTAGTATCTTTGAATCAAACTTAATAGTCTAAAGTAATAGGACTTATTTCACTTAATTTAACAAATTCTAAATGTAGCCAGAAAGAAATACAATAAAACAGAAAATATTATGTGTGGTGTTAATCCAAGAAACTGCAAAATCCCTGAGGTCCACATGCAGTAATGTTTAGTAAAACCATTCTCAGGAAAGGTCGTCAGCCATGTAATCAGTACTGCCAGCTGACAAATGCATCCTTGTCCTGCCCATTAATTAGTATATAATTTGCTACAGCTAAGTTAAATTGCTTGCATAGGTAAGCTTTTTTTTTTTTTTTCCTTGTTAGACGTTTTAAAGGACTTCTCTTGGTTGGCCCTCAAAATTTCTTTTTAGATAGATACTTTCATCTGTGCCATTGTGTTAAAAACAACTCAAAATAAGAACAGCCTTTACAAGGGGAGATGGAAAGTCAAGAACAAGAAGAATTCAGCCCCTTGACAAAGCATGAAAGATCCACTGACTTCAGAGGCATGATGTCACTCACTGACTGAATGTGGCAATTTAGGAGTAAATAAAAATCTGAATTTACTGGCACTGAAGTATCAAAACTTGGAAGCTACCTAAGTCACGCTTTCTCCACAGGATAAAGGTAGGGCTGTTCCCTTCCTTCTATTAAGTAGTTGCAGTGAAATCTGTGAAACTACTTGTATGTGTGGGAGAACTATACCTCTTATTTCGATTTACTGTGAGACTCAGGGATAATTAGCATACTTGTGCATACTCTAATAAGCCTAAATACCTTTGGCACTGAAAACAGAAACACTCTTATCTTACAATGCTGGTTTTCTTCCAACTGCTAGAGAGAAAACCTTAGTACATGTTATTGTCTGAATGTGAAGATCAGGGCAGAGATTCTTCTCTCAAGGCTGAGGGACTGTTCTGGCTGCCAAGCATGCCTCTGTTACAGCTGAGCCCTGCAGTGTGGGCCCTTGTGTAAACAGCTGGCTGCACCAGAAATGCAGTGCCATGTGTACCCGGGGCACCAGCATCACAGGGTTCTTGCAACCACAAAGGCTTAAATTACATTATTTTTGCCATCTATTATGCTAATATCCTACTGGGAGCTGTCCCATTACCTCCCTCCAAGTAATAATACTAAGGGGAGACATACTGAAGCACTGGAGAGTGCACCTTTCAAGTTAGCTTAGGTATACATCACAGCAGCCTTTGAAACTGGGCTAAGCCATAGATGGGTTTTGGGAAATTCAAGGAATTTGCAACTGGATAACTAATGCTCAGCACTGATTAAGAACCTACTTTTCACAAGTCAGAAGTCTGTGTAATTTATGTATGACTTAACATGTACAGGTTAATCATCCAGGAATACAGGGCTCTCCATTTCTCCTGGATTCCAACTGCTTTGCTACTGAATGTATTTCATGCTATTTTTACCTGAAAAAGAAAAAAATATATGGGTAGAGAATTAGGACATTACTTCCTCTTATTTTCTTATTCAGTGGGACTTGCTTTTATTTAACCTGTAAAGGAATATATATGTATCTTTGGAAAACTATACCTTATATATAGAATAATATATAGGAAACTGAATCACAAGGGGATAAATACATCTAAAGGATTTGGTATGTTACATTTCATTTGTGACTTGATACCACTGAATCCTGGGCTGTACCAACTTCCTTTCAGTTTCTCTTATTTTTGTATTTTATATAATACACGGATGGTACTACCAATGCAAACAAGAGCAGATGTTCTCAGATTTTTCTCCAGATCCCAATTCCCTCCTTCCAATAATCCCTGGGCTTGCACTGGTACTGATATCACTTTCAAAAGCTGTGCCAGGAGCTCTCTCGAGCTTTGGGAACTGTTGCTTTCCCATGGAAGATTCTCTGCCTTCTCTGAACTGGGAAAAGATGGCACA